TCTAAGCAGGTCCTATGTACATCTAAAAGCAATAATCAAACAAGTTACTTGGATCCACGACATAGTATGTAGCAGTCATATGCCACATGATAAACAGCATCCTCAATTAGCCGCCTCATCTCAAACTAAAAGTCAGAGATCTTAGACGAAGAAATCAGGTGCATAGTACTAAATAGCTTTGGTAGCGACTGAAATAGCGACTGCTATATCGATAATGGCCTGTACTACTACTGCTATCGCTACAAGGTAGCGGACCAAAGTTAGCGTGTTGTAGCAGCCGCTATTGCCCCTAGCATCCACCGTTGCTATTGTTGGACACCTATCTGCTAGGTAGATATTCCAAGTGATAGTATGGACACTTCCAATGGTAACAAAAATATTAAGATAGTGATTTGGACCATGATAAAGAATGATAGGATGATTAATGACATCCTTTTCAATTGATATAAGAACGTACTTAATGATAGTTTGTCTCCACATGTTTTCTTTATATTTTATTCACTTATATGCTTCTTTGTGATTTTATATCATTAAATGTATGAAATAATTAACTAAAAACTTTTCATTATTTTAAGAAAAGATGGTATAGTATATGGCATATACTTTGACTTTTTTAATATTCTACCCTTAGAACTTAGCACCCGCTATCTGCAATCCACTACGAAATCGCTATCTGCTATTTAGTACCTCCATGTGTGATCTCACAAGTCACAACTCGCCTAGAAACCTTTTATACAAAGGAAGAAGACCATACGAAGGAACCAACCAATCCTTAACTATGATAGTTGACGAGTTGTTGGGTAAACCTCCTATATCTATATATGATAGTCTACTGCTGTAAATATACAAAAATAAGTGCTAGCTTCTGCGCGTCAGTGTGTGGGTCTGTGGGATTTGGGCGATGTTATTTCGTGCTGCCTCTGATATTAGCTGGCATCTGATTTTTTTTTCACCCCATCTTGACAGGATGACAGTCAAGCACACGTACATCTGGAAATTTTAGGTGAGCAAATGCTGGCGCTAGCCTGCTAGTGCTAGGTAGAGTGCTAAGTGAAAAAATGTGTCTTGTAGCTCTGTTTGTATTGCAACTATATATGCATCAGCTACATGTGAGTTGGGTCCATCTTCGCCAGTATGTATGACAAAAATAGTTGCCTTTAATACGTCGTGACACAGATGCAACGGCCAAATTTCATCCAGCGGATAACCGCTGGAAAAGGTTAGTTGGTGAAGTTTTGACTAGTAACGTATAGACGACCTTTACTGGACTAGTACGTAGACATGGAATGGAACCACGGTGTGCAGAAAAAAACTATAGACGGCCTAAATGGGCCAGATGTAAGGATCATGGGCCCTTGATTATATCCCATTCAGGTTTTAGTGATTATAAGATTTTTCTCGATCACGCAAAAGGTTTGTGCATCTTTATATTAAGATAGAGAAAAAAATTGATACAACACGGCTAAGCAGCGCCCTAGGGGGTCAGAATAGTTTTACATGGTCGTTCGAACCCTTCCTAGTATACTAAAAGCTATGTTGTTACATTGGACACCGATCAAACCCGATTTGCGGCGCCGGCTAGGAGACCTATGTCCGGGCTGCCAAGCGGCGGCGGCAGCGGCGCTGCTTGCGCGCATCCACATCGCTGTCCGATGGGAACAACTCATGAAACGCCTGCATATTACCGGGGTCGCCGCTGAAAATTTCTTTGTATGCCTTCAGGGCCGACGTCGACAGCGATAACATCCCGCTGGTTAGTCCTAGGCGCTTCAAGACAAGGTGCTCACCTCGCTTGGACGCTGGGATATGAGATATGCTTTGCGCCGCTATCCGCTTGCTCCTTTTGGGAAGCACGCACGTCCGTGGTCAGCTGTATCATTAGAGCAAGCTAGCAGCCTAGGAATGGAAACATGGTCCACATTTATGTTCCCATGTTCCATGTTACAGGAACTTCTACGTTCCGAGAACAGGATCGGTCCCATTCTCACGTTATAAAATGATACCCCAAGTTCCCGTTCCTGTTCCGGGAATGAGAATGGAAACATGCATGGCTGCTAAGAACAAGCTCTTATGTTTTCAGTCAACATCCTTCATTAAGATGTATTACACAGGTTCACTTAGATCCTAGGGATACAAGAAAACAAGTGTTGTGTGAAGATTGGAGAAGAGATAAAAAAATCAAGAAAATAGAGAAGATTGACTCGATTGGACGATCCGTGTCTCATAAATATGAGAGTGCCAAGCAAATAGAAGTTGTGTTCACTGTTCAGCGATGCCGTGGTTGAGAGCACTGTCCAAATGAACAGGCAGAACAGTGTGGCAAAGGGTCAAACAATATGATGTGCAATCTAGATGATCTATAGAGATTAGGGTCAGACAATCTATAGACTATAGTGGCGTTCAATGAAGCACAAAGACAATATGATGTGCAAATCAACAGGACGGATGGTCCACCATTGAAGAGAAGTAAAGCGCTAGACAAATGACGTCAACAAAGGGAGCAACGGCTAGTACAAAGGCTATAAGGACCGGATAGTCTGGTGGAGGAAAACTGTGAACACATCATTCGGCCAATACAAAAAAAATGCCAACCTTTTGCTAACATCTTTTTGTGGGAAGAATATATGTATCCCATACCACTGGTCATTTGGGGTTTGTTAAAGTATGTCGGATCTAGTGCAAATCTAGGATCACTCGAATCACCATTTGAGAGCTTAGTTTTCACATCCAAAGGTTTAGTTGTGCTTAGTACCATGCTTAGCATAGAGATTAGGGTTTAGCTTATGAACTACATTGTTTGGGATTTGTGCACTTGTAATCTAGAGAGCCAAAGCAATTGGAGCCTTGGTGCCTCTCCGGCAACATTGACTCCCTGAGCTTGGTATGGAAAGGCAGCAACTTGGTGTGTGGTTGACGAGGAGAGACCCTTGACTTGGTGGAGAAACTCAATTGTGGACGGCATTAATGTAACCGAGAGAGTTGGGTGGCAGTGGTGAGTCTTAGCGGTTTGCGACACTTGCCTTAGTTGATGCAAGCCTTTGTGGCAAACTCAACACCGTGACCGTGGGAAGGCTTGATGACCAGGAGCATACCTCGATGGAACTCCAACATGGATTAGAAATTGTTTTTTGGCAACTGAACATTTGGCACCATGGGATTCATCATCGTGTCTCTAGGAGTTTGTCCATCTTTACTTGATCTCTTTACTTACCATATTTAAGCTTCTGCATTGTGCCTGTCTTGTGTGACCTTTACCATTTCTAGATTACTATAGGCTAGTTGATAGGTTGCTAAACTCTTTGTGTGTTTCTAGTGTAAATCAAGCAAAGTCCCAAGGCTTAAACTTTTAAGGAGCCAATTCACCCCCCTCCTCGTCTTATGTCTAATGGACTCTATGACTCAAAGTTCCCTACATAGGACTAATTGGATTGTTATGAGGCCTACATTTTTGGCCCAGACCAAGCAAACAAGGCATGGCACAACTAGCATTGGGCCTATGTAGTTATGGCCCATAGAGGCTTGCCATGATTGCTTGTTGCCTAGGCCCGGCCACTGGGCAACATGTGCGTGGCATGATTAAATGTAGACCTGTTACCTCACCCCCATATATAAACAAGCAGGTTCCCTTCCAAAACCAAACCCTAACTAACTCGATCCTTCCCCTCCTCAGCCACTAGCTTCTGTTCCACTTGGCTCCATCTTCACCTTCTCCTGTAGAACTCCGAAAGTGGCTTCTCCTCCTACCCCTCCTACTTCTACGGTGATGTAGTCCTAGCCACCACACAGGTGGTGGCAGTGCAGCATTGAACGGAACTTGATTTGTTTGTGTACAAATGTATCGACGGATGACGGATCTGTGTGAGACAGCCTTCCCATATGTGACTTATGAATGTACTTGATTTTCTTTTAACACTCATGGTATAATGACGGTTCACTCCTGAAACCTTCCTTCTAGCGTCATCATCTCTTTGTAGTGCCATGTCGCCACTATATGAGTTGTCACTACTTGTAACGCTTGGTTGTATAACGTGTCAATCTATCAAGAGGGCAAGGGCGACTTGTTGATTACTACCATCGAAAAGGGAGCTGGGGATTCATATTCAACGGAAATGTGTTGAACTTCAAAATATCCATAAATATAGTTATAGTTATTTCAAAAAATTCTGAAAACAAGAAAAATATGGAGAAGCCATGTTGTAAATTATATCCATGTAAATTTTGACATCAAATTAAGATGTATTTGTGATAAAAAATAATACTTGTTGAACAATCCAAAATTGTGTGTTGGTCTGATGGTGCGTAAAATGTGATACATACATGGTAGCTAGATATTTCTCGGGTAGTTTTGGGAATTTTTCCAATCTAGCACATTATCACAGGTTGTTTACATTACACATAAATGTGTGATCCCACTTTAATTTGGCATGGGGTGCCAAAATTATTATCTAAGATATGTACCCTATCCGTCGCACAAAGAATGTCATTCTCACTTTCTGAGAAGTCAAACATTTTTAAGGACCAATTATATATAAAAAAATATTAATATTTATAATGCATAATTAGTATTATTAGATAAATCGTAGAATATATTTTTATAATAAGTTTTTTAGTGATACAAATATTGTTAATATTTTATATAAAGCTAGTCAAACTTGAGAAAGTTTGACCAGCACATATCCCATAACGTCATTCCTTTTGGGATGAAGGGAGTGTTTATGAAGATTTTGTTCATGATTTAAATTAGGTTGAGTTAAACAAATATGAAAAACCAGTAAGAGAACAAGCCATGCATCAGAATACATGACAGATAGAGACCATTTGTATCAATTAATCAAATCCATTCAGTTATATAACGGTTGACCCCATAATGTTGTAAGAGCAAACGAAGTGAGCAAAGCAAAGAAACACTTGCACTGGTCGTCCCTCCCGACCAGACAAGAGCAATTACGGCACAGCCAATTACGTGTCCACCCTCGACGACACGGTTCCTGGTGAATTCATCAGTAGAAGATCATAGTAGCGACAGCAGCGGCAACGCCGGCGATGGCAGCTCCGCTTCCAAGGGTAGCAGCACCGGAGTCATCAGCAGCCGCCGGTCCCTCAGCAGGCCCGTCAGCGGCAGGGGACACCGCTGGCGCGGTGGATGCTGCCGGGGAAGGGACCAACTCCTCGTCCGTGGAAGAAGAAGAAGGCGGTGTAGTAGAGGCGGTGGTCGGCGCGGCAGCTGGACCAGACTTCCTAGACGAAGACGATGGGGCCTGCGCGGCGGCGGGGGTGGAGGTGGCGGCAGCGGCTTCGGGGACCTTAGCGGGGGCAGTAGTCCTCTTGGCTCCAGACTCGGGTGCCTTGGCAGGAGTGCTGGCGTTCGGTGACTCTGCTGGGGCCTCGGCCACCGCGCTGACGGCAGCGACGGCGAGGATGTAGAGGAGGACCGCAGCTGTGATGATGCGCGACATTTTCGTTGGCTGGCTGGATGTGGTGGTGGTGGTGGTGACGACGGAGGGAGGGGGTGCAAGGTTTGTTTCTTGCTTTCTGGGGTGAGTTGCAAAGGGAGACGGCCAAGAATTCTTATAGGTGTCGTGTTGGTAAGCTTGAGAGGATGGGAGGAACTCCTGTGGAAACTTGAGGTGGAGACGAAGCTGATGGACGCCCGTCCGTTGCGCGCCATGTTTTTCAAACGGTTGACGATCCACTGGCTTGTGGGGTCTGTCCAGTTATTATGCATGGTTGCTTTTTTTTTAGGGGAATTATGCATGGTTGCTGGTTGGTGATTGTTTCTGCTGAGCGGATGGGCCTCGGTCATCATGTTCGACCTGAGAATTGGTGGGCCTTGAAGCTTTTGGACGGTGCAAGTTTCAGTTAGGCCCAGAGATGTACCAGGACTTCATTGTTCACAACTCACGCAGCAGTGGCTCAGATGCAGCCATATTTGGCACCCTGCACAGATTTTGTTTGGTACAGCTATGAAGAGAAGTGTTTCCCAAATAAGAGCATCTTCAACGGATTTCTTATATTGCTTAAATTGTTTTAGAGAATATATCTTTAAAACAGTTTATGATATAAGCAAGAACTGTTGTAGCAGCTAAAAAATCCATCCTATATTTCTTAGGGATAGGGGAGAGAGATAAAACTTTTAGGTATTTCTTAGAGAAAGGGGAGAGAGGGTTGTCTCTTTATCTAGGAGAATTGGAGAAAGAATGCTCTTTTAGAAAATCTCAAAATTATAGGAAAAGGAAATCTACTGCAGCGACTCCATGTTCTAGAAAAAACTGCAAAAAAAACATAGAGATTGACTTATAATTTCAGCTTACTTTAGCCATAAGTAGCTTAAAAACTATACCAAGCAGGCCCATTATACACTGCTAAAAAGCTACTGACTATACCTTAGGCTGAAGAACAATTTACATAAGCAGTTTCAACCACAGGTTTCTTGAAATGCCGCAGAAATCTGAACTATAGCTCAAGCAATGCAGGCCTCAGGACTGAATAAATATGATTACAACACGAAACAGCTGTCAGTTTACAGTTCTCACTCCACTACCACCGGAACGATTCCACAAGCACCTCAACTCAAGCCAACACGTACAATTACATCAGCAGTTCAACATTATCATACATATGCTACAATCAGAAGGGGCCACTATAGTACAAGGACCTGCAGCCTTGACCTTGCCTCCGCAGCTATATTCAAGTGCTCCTCGTCAGGGTTCTCTCTCGCTGCCGTGAGAGCTTCAGCATACGTAATCCTTTCCTGCTCTATCTTGTCGACCTCAATCTTGTCAATTTCACTCTGATTCCATGTTTTGATGCATAGCTATTAGCTTGACATGATCAATATTTAGTGCAAAGCATCTAACCAGTTTTCTTTGAACAAATATTTCCAATTTCAGCATCCATAATAACATTGCAAGAGAAAAACAGTACTCCAATTATAATATACTAAATCATAATACAAATTTTCAGTGTAGCATCAAAATTTTATTCCCAAATGATTAACACTTTTACGCAAATTTTTCCCAGATTGCAAAGAACCTCGTGTTGGTATATAGTAAGGAGTATCAACGGGTAGCAGTAAACCACAGATACACACCCCCAGAGTCTTTCTGTGACATTTAATATAATGCAGCAAACATTTTAGACAATGCAATTGGTGACGCCCCCAGAGTGTTTATGTGACATTTTAGATAAAGCAGCAAACATTTTAGACAAAGCAATCAGTGACAACCAAGGTGATTCTCAGGAATGGCAAGCTACTTAGACAATTTAAAACACCATAACACTAACTTACAGTCCATCCCTTGCTTTAGTTAAGACATTTAATGGTTCAAACAAGTCAATGGTGCTCGAAGGATGTATGCTCACCGTTGATTGAAGTGCCTCTAATTCATATGACGATGGTATTGTATCATCATAAGAGTCACTTGAAACATTCTCTGAAATTTTTTCGAAAAATGCCATCAATGAGCTTATCTCGAATCCCATATTCGACATATCTCCTTGAAGATCTTCGACTTTTTTATTTGACATCTTTACCTCCCATTCCAGTTTCTCTAAACAAGCTTGCTTGTCTGCAAGCATAATCTGTAGGAGGACAAAGAAAATGTCAGGTCAAAAATAAAAATCTTTTCCCATCAATAAACTCAACAATCATTTAATTTTAGCATCCTTACCCAAAAAAGAAAAAAGAAAAATTAGTATAACATGTGTAAGTAGAAACTCAGTATAAGTGAATCATCTGAAGAGAAAATATGTACAGCCATTTATATACGCAAAAGTAACAGTAGATTACTCAATGTCTAAATCAAAGGGTATGCTGGAATTGCACAATTGTTGATTCAATCCAGTGCAAGACAGCAAGCATAGCTAATTTGCAGTATCCTCAAAATGAGGATGAGGAACTTTCATAAACTGTGTAATGACATTAAACAATCAGTCAACAACCCAGGTATCTTGAAGATATAAAACTTATGAAGTGTGAATGTAACAGCTATGGCTTTGTGCATGAATCATTGTGACAGACTTTCTGACTATCATTCTAAGTAGAGGTTGTTGTAGCCTTTAGAAGGACGTTTGCAAGATAAAGTTAGCCTATGCATTACATTAAACTAGACTTACGAGCTAGGCTGATTATATGGTTCAATAACAACAGTATATGTTTACTTGGACTGAAACATATAATATTGCTCGTCACAAATATAAGCAAGAACTTTGTCAAATTTTGTGATAGAAGTAGTCGCCAGTTGCTAAGAAATCTGATTTTGCGTACAGGAGAATAACATTCGTATTGTAACTGTATTTAACATTTAATATTTTTTCATTCACAGGGTGCCAACTTTGATGGTAGCGCAGTTTTGTATCACTCCTTTTCATGTCAGAGTTACAAGGAAAATATATAATTTAAACAGATTTTATGGGTATAAGCATGCTAGCTAATTCAGAACAGTAGTGAATCATAATCGGCAGCATTTTACCTTTGCATCATGCAACTGAGAATTGGTAGATCTGATCAAAGCTTCTTTGTCAGCCACCAGGCGCCTGAGTTCATCGATGGTTGCATATGCCGCATTCATCTCAGACACAGAGCTCTCCGCGGATCTTAGCACCTCCTCCTTCTCGAGCAGTTTCTTTTGCAGTTCATCGATCTGCTCGCGCAGCATGGCAACCTCATCCTTGGGCTTATTTTCAGCTCCGGAGAGAGAAAATGGCACAGCCGAGCCGCTGTCGCCCTTAGAGTCTTGGGCACTCTTCTTGGCTGCATCACCAGGGTCTCTCCGTTTTTTGGCGGATACGCTCTGTGGCAACTTGACACTTTTCAAATCGCTTGCCTGTAAGAATGAGCATCCATTCGTAAGTTCATCACTACCAAATCCAAAGAGCATTTGTCATGGTAGTTTTACAATAAAGAATCACAAACTGTCATTGTTAGGTCTAATCTGAAAGAGGGGAAATCGCAACTAACATCGGAGGCCGACAGAGGCATAATTACAGCATCCAGCGACCATTCTAGTTCATAATGTATCTCAGTAATTAGTAGTAAAAGAATTCACATAGTAATTAGGATTCATGTATTTCACCTCTACCTACAATCAAATTTTAAACCTGGGCAGAAAGACAGTGTCTGCTATTAAAATTCTGCTCATGCACCAAACAGGTTGACAATATTAAGGTGACTCTACTTGGGTCAAGTAGCACAAATTCATTCAATATTAAATTACAGAATCGAGAAACTGTCGCAACTATCTGCTACAAACTCCAAAACATACATACAGTCCCATTTCCTAAACCTATTCTAAACAACCACGACATTTGAGACAGTCGCCAGCAGCATGCCTATGGTGCCTATTTTACCCCATCTTTCAATACAAACCCCAATTCATACACAGTTTATCCCAGAACTCCGATTAACAATTCCCTAGGCCCTGATAAGCAATTGAAGACCCCGATTCTAAATACTAATACAGCTATGGACATTTTTTTAAAAGGAACTATTAGCAGATTAACAGAGCAGCCAACGCACCTAGAACCAAACAAACTCGATGGAACTGGGCACCGGACATGTCGCCAACATGTCAGATTCGAACGTAAGCAACCGACGCAAGAATAAAATCGGCAAACCCACAAACTATCAAAGGAACAGAAAGAAAGATACAGGGGTAAATTAGGGAAGAAGGCGGCAACAAAACCTTCTTGGGCGGCGCCGGCGTGTATACCAGCGAAGTGCGACGCGAGTAGGCCGGGTTAGCTCTCCGGTCCTGCACCCAGGAAGAAGAACCAACACAGAACAACGGTCAGGCCAGCAGGAGCGCGGAAACCCCCGTAGCCACCCCCGCCCCCCCCCGGGCGAGATCTGCGCGCGGCACCCGCTAACTCACCATGAGCGACTCGACGAGCGGCACCATCTCGACGAGGTTCTTGAAGAGCACCCGATCCACGTTCCCGCCGCCGCTGTCGCCGGCCGGCCCGCCGTTGCCGGCCTCCGCCGGCTGCGGCTTGTGGGATCGATCGTGCATTTGGTATTCTGTTTCGAATCGAGTGGAAATCGGAAGAAAGGAGGTGGAAATGAAACGGGCTGGGCCTGGGAATGGAAATGGGAAATGGTCGGGTGATGTCAGCCTCGGGTCGGGGTTTAAGGCTTTCCGAGGCGTTGGGTTCGGATGCCCGACCGGGTCGGCCCGGCCGGCTTGCTTTTCTGTTTTTTTCTATCTACGATACGAAGCTTGAAGACGAGGCTTGCCGGAACAAATGGAGAAGCTGCCTTTTGGCAAAAGTGCTTGGCCACTGATTACCAGTGGTTACTGGGGAAATGCAAGTGGGATCTGGGTGCTACGCATATAAAACTTGCTTGATACTCCAGTTAATGGCCCTGTTTGGATCCATGGGTTAGAGCTAGTTTAGGTTAGTTGGAGCTCAACTAGCCTTTAAAGTAGCCAAATAGGAGGGTTAGAGTGGGTTATTTGCAACTAGTCCACCCTAAAAAAACTATCCCCCCAAAGAGGTGATTATTTGGGCTAGTTGGGGCTATTTGAGGTGGGGTCCACTGTTTTCTCTCTACTTTTACCCACACCAATGATTTGGAAAGCACATTTATTATCATTTTAACCCTTGTATCTAAACATCTCTTAGGCTAGAGTTAGTTCAGGGCTAGTCCTGAGCTAGAAACTAACTCTAACCTCTAGCTGTGCTAGATTATCCAAACAATAGTGGAGATAGCTCGACAGTATATATATATAATCGATCATTGACATAGTAACCAAATTATGAATGTATAGGAATACTACATTTTAAAAGCCAATCATTAACACGGTATTTTTCATATTACCACCATTGGGTGATAATAATTAGATAAATTAAAACACCTGAGATTATGAGTTAGATAATAACAATCCAAATAAGTTACTGTAATCTTATAATTCATTCCAAACCTAAAACTAGGAGATCATATTCATAGCTGAATAGACAATAATCCAGCAATTAAAATAATATATAGGGATCTAAACATCCAAGATTATTACAATCTTTACTCTATATTATAGTAATCTCATTCATAATTTTGATTAGAAAATCTTGATCCAAACAAGTCCTAAGTACTCTCTTTTCAGTCGCCAAATATTGGTATTATAAAACATATTGAGTTAAAAAACAAGGCACTTAAAAAAATCAGCAAACAGATTCGTAATAGTTTGTGAGGGTCAAACATATCACAAACATCATCATTTACCATGGATGGTACTAGTAACATGAACATGATAGGAGGCTACCTATCTAGCGCCATTTGGAACGAGAATTTCAGAGGAATGTGATTCCTATGTTTTCATGACGCATTCTTCGTTCCTATGTTTTGATGGCGCACTCTTCGTTTGCATCTGTAGGATCTCTGGTAAGCCTAGAGGGATGTGAATAGGTCTGTAAAAATTCAACTCAAACCGAAGTCAAATTCACCCACGGCACTGCCGCTCTGTGAGCGCGGCACTGCCGCACATGCAGGAGAGATTAGTTCACAGTTCAAAATCTACCTAACGAAATTTAGATCAGGTAAATTTCTTAGCTTCCTACAGGGTAGTAGATCATAGATCGATAGCTGAAAGTGGTGGAACACCACACACAAGTAGATCGTCCTCAAACCCTAGAAATCACATTAACAACAACAACAACATAAGTGTAGCAACACAAGCACAAGATCACATAAGGATTTATCCCGTGTTCCGCTCGCCACCAAGGCTTACCTAATTCCACGTTATTGAGAAATACCACTAAGGCTTAGGGCTTTGCGACCCTACCTCGTTCTCAAGTAAAGAGAGTGAACTCTTGAGATGAGGGGTGATTTTACTTGCTGCAAGAGATGGTTACAAATCTTCCGGGGCTGCCACAAACTTGGCAAGCTCACCAGGCGACGCTCTAACTGGCTAGGAGCCAAGATCCAAGAGTAACAAACATAACCGCCGGCCAAAACATGAACCAAATGCTCTTTAGGCTTTGGGAATCAGTGGAGATGCTCTCTAATCACTTTTGGCACCTTTTTCTTTCAAGGATTGATGGGGAAGTCAAAGGAAAAACTTGAGAGCTTGAAGGGCACCAATGGAGAAGAGAGGAGATGAGCGCCTGCTGATTTTCGTCGGTTTGAACCGTTGGGGAAGAAGAGAGAGACGTTATGGAGGACAGATAAAAGTATAAATACCCCCCTGCCTCCCAATGGTTACTTAAGTGCGGCAGTGCCTATCTCCAGGTGTGGCACTACAGCACCCAGCAAGACAGCAAGGGTGAAGGAGTTGTTAAGTTGGCTGTCTTGGTTGAGGTGTGAGGATGTTTTGTGTAAAGATTGAACATTTGGTTGCACATTTTTAACCAGTTATAGTGTCCTCCTTTATAGTACGGCTTTTCCCATACTCAATTTCAAAAGACAAAAGAATTCAAAACTCCTTTGAGCGCGATGCCGTCCTTATTTGTAATTGGGGGCTCCTCCTTTCCATGTGACATCCTCTATAATGAATTCCCTGCTTATTATCTTAATAAATTTCATTAGTTCTCTAATTAGGTGGTCATCAACACCAAAACCCACATTAGGGCTTGATTGCACTTACAATCTCTCCCTTTTTGGTGATTGATGACAACCCAATTAGAGCTTACAAAAGATATGAAATAAATAACTGAGATTCTTTTTTCGAACCATGGGTGTAGAGCCTCTCCTAAATATGTGAATAGAGAATTGAATTCTCAACTTGGCATAAGAGGCCAAGATTCACACTTTAGTGAAGTGAAAATTGAGGCTCCCCCTACATCCATGCCTTTGTGGGGTGCTGCACATAGTGTCAAGAAAATATATACGTGATGCATATGACAAATCATGCACACATGTGCTTACTGCTGCAGCTGAGTGCGGCACTGCCGCACCTGACTGTATGACGAGCAAGATTGAGTCAAGCACCACACAGCTAGCTCAGATAAGAAAAAATATGCAACCTAGCACAATAAGATGACTTCTAATCCACACAAACGATACATGTCCGTATCCGATACACAAAGAGTCAAATAGTAGCATTATTTCACAATTTAGAGTTTTGAGCGACTCTGAAACTTTTCACCTAGCAAAGACTAACACTCATCGAATAGGATATGAAGCGCAGCTGCTGACCATGGCGTCGAAAAGTTGTTGACCCCTCTAATTTTCTCCTCCTTTGGCATAAAGCACCAAAAAGAGAAGAAAAGAAGAAAGATCAACACCTACTCGTCATCTCCCTGGATGTCCGTCCAATCAATATCATCACCTCCTACAACCCTAGCACCTCCTGCAGCAGTCCCGGCACAACCATCACCATCATTGTCTCGAGTCAATAAGTGCATAGCCCTGACAGTGAGTAGTGGCGGTGTAGCGAGTGGAACGCCTCGGCTCCTGTCTCTAATGGTATCCCTCTAGGGTCTCATCCCAATCTGTTGCTCGTCCCTGCTGCTCCTCATCATCATCATCATCCTCATCATCTAAATCTGTGTCGGAGAGACTCGGAAGGTAATACTGTGGAGGAGGTGGAATAGGAGGAGGTGGTGGAAGGTCCTGTCCATGCTGCTGACGCTGCTCAAGTTGTGTCTCATACGCTCTGTCAGCTGCATAGGTGTACTTGCTGAAGATTGCCTTCAACCACTTGCCAAACTTCTTCATCTTGCCTCCTCTGTGAGACCTAGAGCGGGAAGACTTAGGGATATCTACATGAGCATGAGAGCTCCCCGCTCCCTGAGTAGCTGCAGCTGGCTGGGTCTTCTTAATTTTGTAGACGATGTGCATCCCATCGTTCGGAAAATAAAATCCTATGACCCTCTCAATCATGAACATGAGGTAAGGGGCATAGAGCAGCCCCCTCCTCCCATCCTCCACTCCAAATCTCAACTTAGTGCACATAAATCTAGGGACATTGAACCTGTCCCCACATAGCTGAATCTAGCCAACACATTTCTCACATAGCCATTAATATCTGAGGTAGCTCCATCCTTTGGGTTGATGGTGTTCCTGATGAGGTTGTTGAGGATATAATAGAAACTATGTAGACCACTCCTCTTGCCATCTCCAATCCTTCTATCTCTCCACATGTAATTGATGTCATAGATCTCAGCTCGAGGCTCATCATGAATGTAAGTGTAACCTCTGTGCTCCTCCCTAAAGCCAAGAATATGGCTAAAAGTGACAAAGTCGACTTGGTAGTGCCGACCATCAGTTATCCAATGAATCTCATCAGAGGTCTGATCATAGAAGTATGTGGCATGAAACTGTGCAAGGACCTCCTCATTCCAATTATACTGGAAACCCATGATGTCTAAAAGCTGGAACCTATCACAAATTTTGATTACCTTGTCAAACTCAGGCCCCTCCTTCTCCCGCATCTCATCCCAATTAATATACTACATCTTGATGATCTTAGTTTTCTTGATGCAAGAATGGCAGTGGCATAAAAGTTGGAATGAAACTCATTCCAGAATCTGTAATCAATGCCCAAATCCTTGCGCACTGCATAGGGATTGATCCTCCTTACCTCTTCCACCAGCTTCCAACTCTTGGAATAGTTGACAACTGCATGCTAGCAGGAGTCATCTGGAGGTCTCATGATGATCTCACCCTCAAAATTTTCTCATGTATCTGCCATCAAACTCAGAGAGATGCTGTGGGGTGTCAGGAATAGCATCAGTGGTATGACCTATCATCTCCAGCCTCTCCTCATCTTCAATGCATTGCTCGCGCCTCCCCCTGTCACCAAGTCCCCTTGGAGCTGCACTACTGCCTGCTGCTATTGACCTCCCTCGACCACGACGAGGTGGATCCTTGTCTCTTTTCTCATTCATCTTCCTTTTCCCCTTTGGTCACAATCTCTGTGCTCCATCTATGCATAGAATGAACTAGATAAGAACTATACAAATGGGACATAGAAAATCACTTGAAGAATAGTCTTGATAAGAAAATGACTTAGATCATGAACTTGAGAGACACTATGGACAGTGCTGCTCAGGCAGTGTGGCACTGCCGCACTCA